TAACTCACCTATTTTAGATCCAGATTTTGTGCGCCCTCTGGAGTGGGCACCATCTCTTCCTTCTTTTGGTGAGAGTCTGGACAACCAGCTCAGACCAGCTGTTAAAGGGTGGGATCTGGGAGTGAAGAAACACAGATGATTGAACAAGAAACTCAAAGACTTGTGCCTGCAAAGCACTCTGAACTCTCACTGAAATTTTGCACAAACCATTACCCTTCAACATTGTTTCCTAAACTTGAGAAGATACCAAACATTAAAAGACTGGGCTGAATCATGCACACTTAGTTCTTGGGGGATTAAACCTTGTTTTTTGAAATTTAATGATCTATCCTCTTACATATTTTTTAAATAAAATTGCAAAAATTATGAAGGAAAATGCAAAAATGTCCAAATATTGCAACATGCTTATAGATGTCATATAGGAGATCTCAAGAAATCCAAGGTTTCTAGATTTGCAGTCACCATTAAAATAAGATCATGAGACCAGCAATATAATGCGTGACATATACATCAACATGAAGTACTATACTAGGAAAAATTAGGACCAGCTTCAGAGATATTTTATACACAGCATTGGCTGCAGGCTTAGTCTGCCAGTAATATCAAATTATTTTTCTCTGACCCTGCAGATGACAGTTTTCAGTTTCTGTATGCTGCATTGCTAGTTACTATCACTGAACTGTAGGAGCTTCCAAAAACATAAAATTGATAACCACAAAAAAAAAAAAAAAAAAACCCCAAAAAAAAAAAAAAAAAAACCCCAAAAAAAAAAAAAAAAAAACCCCAAAAAAAAAAAAAAAAAAACCCAAAAAAAAACCAACCAAACAAACAAAAATAAAAAGCACATGAGAGATGAAAACACAACTGAGAGAGACTAATAAAATTTCAGTTTCCTTCTTCCTGACACATTCACTTGCTGCCTTAGGCCATCCTTTCATGGTTAAAATGTAGGAAGATATTTACCTAGTGTTCACCTGATTATCTTAAAGTTATTTTTTCACCACAGTAGTGTCTCAACACTGTATAAGACCAACATGTAAAAATATCCTATGCAGGTCTTGAATTCTTTGCTATTGCAGTTTAAGAAGAAAATTTTGGCAATATTTTAGCAGCCTGCTTTATCAGTGAGTTTCAAATAGTTGGAAATGATCTGGTTTTAATACAGCATCTACATGCATCTCTACACTGAAAGCATTTTTGTTCCAAGGCAGATTAAGGTTTTAAACAGCCTTAGGCAGGGAAAAATACTGTGGGGGGGATATATGAGAATATTCTGTAGTCTTAAACCACCCATTCCCTATCCCACAAATTTATGCAGAGAACACTTCTACAGCAACTGCTGAAAAATATCCAGAGCCAGTGAAAAAGAATGAAGAGTAAAATATACTTTTGAGAAGTGGTATGACATCTGGTTGTTGCCATACATGTAATTACCACTCCTTTAGGAAAACTCCCTGCAGTATCACAGGCTTTACTCAGTCTCTTCTTCCTTCAGGGCTTCTGCCTTAGTTTTAACAGGTACTACAGATTCTGGAAATATCTATGTATGTAGGCTACCAACATCTTCTTCTTTTCATTCTTAAGGAGAAAATTGCAATGTCTCTTTCATAAGAAATTATCATTCCTAGTTAAACCTGTGCTTTCACAGATCTGGGATATTTCATGTAGGCTGCTGTTTATTGCAATTAAAACTCTCCAGAAATAAAGACCACAACTAATTTTGTGTTCCATCAGGATTCCTATTTCTCATTCTATCTTTCTTTGGGAAGCAAATGCAATGCTGTTTGCCACAATTTTTTCCTGTCTTTTATTTTTCAAAAGCAGGTAGTTCTGATCTTAATTAATTAAGTCTCTTAACTGAAGCTCAGTGGGAATGACAACATTCATTCATTCATTCATTCATTCATTCATTCATTCATTCATTCATTCTCTACTGCCATGATACACCTGCTCTCTCAGATGCTACCCAGTTCATGTGCCCTCCCACCCCTACTCCCCATCACCAAGGGTTGTCTCTGACCCTCCATATCTGGATAAAAACATGGTCTCCCATTCCTGACCCTCCTATACATCATGTCAGGACTTTGGACAGACCTTCGGACAGGAGTGTGGCACAGCACCACCCTTTGCTTTTTCATCAGACGCCTTAATAAACGTGGGAAAGTTCAGATAAAAAGTGATCCCCTGAACACTTCTGTTGTGTGCTGTGTGAAGTGCTCAGTTTTTCAACCGTCATAATCTCATACTTGCCACAACGGTAGCACCCATTGTCCTGTAAGTTATTTCTTTCATGAACTTAGCATGGAATGATGCATTTCTCTGAAAAGAAATGGGAAGATGTGCATCATGCTTGCAGGAAAACTGCTAATTCTGCTGCTGATGGGGCAAGAAAATAGCATGTGTCTCAATTCTGGCACTAAGAAAACTTACACATTGATTTTCTTTACAGTCCAAAAATTGTAACAACACTCCTAAACACAGATTTGGGTCTAGATTTGCAGAATTCATATTCTGAATTCAGAATACACAGTTCATGTATGAACTATGGCTCATAAATACAGAGTAAATAAATGCAGTAAATACATCTTACAGAAATACAGTTCATAAACAAAAAATTCATAAAATTCATAGTTCCTATTCCCCCCCACCAAACAACTGTGTTCTGTCTGCAATGCTCATTTATACAGAACAATTGTGAAGAGGCCATGGCAAGGAGACTGGAACTCAAAATTCATGTTACCACCTAGACAGTGAATGCCCTCCGTATTTGGGAGAGTCCGTTTCCTCAGGGAGTCGTTGTTGTTCCCTCTGGGAGCTTCCCTCGGGAGAAAGCTTCCAAGAAATATTGTGCTAGAACAAATGCTGTATCTGTGAGTGTTTGTGCATCACTTTGTCAGGAATTGTGGGCAGGGAGTGCTGCAGCAGAACTGATGCTCTGGTGGGATCTGGCTTCTCTGATGCTGTAAATAAGGCTCTCCAAAATGTCCATTCTGGCATTTGGGGAAATTTGTCACCCCTTAATGCTGTGCACAACAGATCAACTGTCCTGTACAGCACATGGAGCAGATAACCCCAGACAAGATCTGTGTGGCCTGGGGATCCATGTTTAGGAATGTCTTGCAGCAGCAGTGGATATGAGCTTTTATTCTATTCCATGTCCTGCTGTTAGGGCTCTGCTGGTGTCTCAAGAAATGGAATTGTCAGGATCTCAGCAGCAGCTAGAAGAAGTGCACCAACAGTGACACTGTAATCTAGGACTGGGGAATTCAGAGGACCTGAGAAAGAGACCAGATCCAGGAAAAGCCAAGTACTTAAAGCTGAGCCACACCAGACCCCACCACCCATCTTAGAATCAGTGTCACCAGGAAAACACCTCAGAAGTTAGCATTTGGAGATTCTTTAATGAGAGATGCAGCAGCACCTGTTTGACAGCCAGGAAATACGTCCAAGTTAGTTTGCTGCACAGCAGGAGCTCAAAAACATGATAACCCTGACATGATATGAACTTGCTAAACACTTGAGTTTATCATTCATTCCTACTCTGCAATGCAGGATCTAAAGATGCTGTGATAAGGCAACTTAGAAACATGAGAGACCATATGGGCCATGAAGACATCATAAGTACAGGTCATGTTGTCCCCTAACCTCCAAGTCAAAAGTGGTCAGGAAGCAGGAAATGAACTGAACAGAAAATGCCAGATAAATTAGGTAATACTCAAGTTTTTGACCTCCGTGGATCCAGATATACTGTGCAGATGCTATTGGAATTGGATGGCATTCACCTAACCTCATACTACAGGCAAAAAGAGGGGAGGATGTGGGACTAAGCAAGGAAAGAGAAACTCGTGGGCAGCAAGAGTCCTCCTGTCAATGTTCTCCTTGGTGCAGCAGCCACTGAAGACCATGGTGGCTACAAAGACAATTTTCTCCCTGTGTTCCCCTTGCACTCTCAGTGCTGGCCACTTCACATGAGCTATGAAACTCCCTGGAAGCTCTGGCTGGGCAGGGACGAAACAAGAGGCACCATCGCTGTTCCTCCATGTTTACTGGGAGACAGTGAAGATCCTGCTCATCCCAGACCCTCTCCGGGGCTTTGGCACCGCAGAAAAGAACTTATCGGACATGTAGAACACTGTGTTCTGTCGGCAGCAGGAGTTGCCCACTGGGAATCACCCCCCACATCTGCCCATCATCCCTGGAAAATATCTCTATGGAGTCAAGGTCCTCTTGCAGCAGCACAGCAGGAATAGAAATCCTGCCATGGAGAAGCCCCATGTCACCACCAGGATATTCAGCACTACACACCCAGGGTGCCACTTAGGTCCCAAGACCACCCCCACAAGCATACAGATCAGCACCAAGGGAACTGGTTCCATCTCACAGCAGGAGATTTCCAAGAACAGAGCATTCCTGGGTCATGTCACCCAATTTCAGATTGAAAATGGTTCGGGGGGGAGGGGTGGGGGGGGGGGCGGTGTTTCTGCCTGTTTTCTCAAGGGAACCCCTGGGAGGTTCCCTTAGGACCCGTGCGACTGCTCTTCCAGGGTATCAGGCCTTTGGCTGCCCGGGGCCATTAGGAGTCCCAGAGCTGAGTTCGAGATGGAGGACAGGGATGGCCTGGCCTGGCCGGGATGCACCGTGGCACCTGTGACATCACAGCCCCAGTGTCACAATGGGGGCAGCTATCAACCGAAGCAGCAAGGGGCGCTGCCCCAGTACAGCCTCGGCGAGCGGCGAGCGTGCACGCAGACAGGAGGCTGTGCTGAACGCTGAACAAGGGCACGGCAGAAACGCAAGTACTCGGGGAGCCGCTTCTCACCGAGCACCCAGAGGCCGGTCCCTCGCAGGAGTGTCTTTGGCGGGGCACAGTGCTGCGGCTGGGGCAGCGGCACAGGCCCCCGCTTTCCTGCCATCAGATCCCTTGGGCTTCTGTCCCCACTTCCCCTATCTCCCTACGTCCCTCCCATCCCCACTCAGCCCCTGCTCAACTCCTTAAGGCCATGCTTGCCACCACGTTCCTTTTCTTGCTTGCTCAAGCCCTCTTCCAGTACCCGCAGCAGGTCGGGGATGGGCTGGATGAATCTGTGCTGGAGCGCATGCAGCAGCGTGCCGAGTATCTGAACCAGCAGATGACTCAGCTCATTCTGGAGCTGGAGCAGATGAAGATGGAGCAGAGCGGTGGGGTCTGGCTCATGTGGCAGTTCTCAGCTCTGACTGGAATCCTCGTCCTACTCTTGGTGCTGCGCTATGGACTCAAGAAAATTAGATGTGATCCAGACAACAGTGGCCACAAGGAGAGGTCCAGCAGCAACTTGGTGGAGGAAGAAGAAGAAGAAGACGAAGGACACGATGTATCTGCAGAGGAAGATACAGAAAGCCACGATGCAAATGTGGAAGAGGACAATAAGGACGGAAACGAAGAAGACAGCAACCTTGATGAAAAGTCAGAAAGCAGTATTGGACATGAAGCAGAAGAAGGCTATGATGATGCAAAGGAAGAAGTAAACTACGATGACGAAGTGGAGGAAGTCAATGCTGCCGGAAACGGAGAAGACAAAGGTGATGCATATGAAGATGACGACTACAGTGTCAAAGGAAACCCTGGAAGGCTTTCAGAGGAGTGCATAGAGTTGTCCCTTCTGGATCTGGACAAAGGCTGCTCCGTGGTTATGGACCTTATGGACAAATTCATACACCTCTCTAGACAATGCTTGTGTGACAGCTTCTATCCGGTGCTACAACAAGCCATCGGAGTGGGCAGCGCCTTTGAAGGCTGGAGTCTCCGCACACAAGATGTTGTGTACTGCATGCTTGTACCCCTGAGTCCTCCTCCAGGACATGCCTTCCACCTGGAGCTGGACACTGCAGGGAAGCTCCAGAGGAACTTCAGTGTCCGTGTGGAGCTGCTGTGCACCTGCATGAGGGAGAGGCTGGGGGAGCACATGCTATGTTTCCTCCACCACCCTGAGGAGGAGCTGAGAAGGAAACAGAACCCCAGCCTGCTGCACACCCTCTGCACTGGCTCCTATCTAGATGTGGAGAAAACTGTCAAGTGGTTCTATGAATTCATGAGACAAGCCTGGATGATTTTGCCTCAGTCCTGCCACTGGAGTTTAATGTTGCAGCCCTGCGGCCGCACATGTAAATTTCACATAAGCAATGACAAGGAAACCTTCATGGTTGAGCTGATCTTTGGAGTGCAGCAAGGAAGCTCAGATACCTTTGTGGGCAGCCAGCCTGCAGAAGTAGGCATCCCAAGCACAACGTGGTTTGAGACTTATGCCGTGGCAGAGACAAAATTCTTCAGGCAGGTTTCCAGACAAGCCAGGACATCTGACATTGCAAGTGTCTGCAGCTCCTAAGCAGCATCCTGATGGGTGAAGATTTTTCCAGCTATGTCCTGAAGACCGTGGTGATACGCCTGCTGAACAGCATACCCCTGACACGGTGGAGCAGAAGGGATTTCCGGCAGCAACTGATGGATATCCTGAAGTACCTCCACTGCTCACTGGACACGACACAACTTAACCACTTTGTCATAGGCAACGAGAGGCTTCCTAAGGAGATCAGTTTGCCCTCCAACTTCCGGGTGCCTCAACCACCCAACCTCTTCCAGCACCTGGCCAGCAGTCTGGATGCCCACACCAAGGCCGTGCAGGAGTACGTTCGCCTGCTGCATCGGCTCAAACAACTGCTGGTGCATGGCCAGTGAAAGAGATCCTCACACACAGAGCTGTGCTTCTGGGGCCCCTGTATATATGACCTTCCTGTAGTTAGTGCATTTACAGTATATATTAATACCCTGTAATTAGTGCATTTGCTACACTTGCTAATACCCTCTAGTTATTGAATTTACTATATATATTAGGACCCTCTAGTTAGTGTTTTTACTATATATATTTACACACTCTAGTTATTGAATTTACTATATATATTAAGACCCTCTAGTTAGTGCTCTTACTATATATATTAACACACTCTAGTTAGATAATTTACTATATATATTAGTACAGTCTAGGTAGTGCTTTTACTCTATATATTAATACCCTCTAGTTAGTGCATTCAGCAATCCCAAATCCTCTTTGTTATTGTTTCAATAAACTGGAAAATTCCAGGGTCTGGATGGTGCAAGCTCTCCTTTAACTCGACCAGACCTAGAGCATTTGTAAATTCCACTGGTTGTGAATTTATGACTGGCTGGGAGTAGGCACTGTTTCAGCAAGCCTTCTTTAACAAACACACACACTTCTCACTCCCTACTGCTTACAGCCTGTCATTGCACAGGCTCTCCATGTCTCCCTTGCATACAAGCTCAAGTTTACTTTGCATAGCTGCCTTTTCTGCCTCAAGCTGGGGAGACGGATACCATATCCAGGTCCTATGACAAGTGTGGTAACTCAGACTGTGAAATTTTTGATGTTCTGGGTACAAATAACACAGCATGGGCAAGACCAGAACATAGAGAGATAAAGCAAAAGCATTTCTTTTTCCAGAGCATAAACTAAACCCTTACAGCATATACTCCTTTTAATCATAGAAGCAAGGTAATATATTCTATATTCATCTCAAGATGACAAAGTGCTAGAGATGAAGATCCTCCTTTGTAGAGCATCAATCATCCTCTCTAGAAAGGTGAGGAGAATCATAGGCAGCATCTGCCAAGTTGATCCGTCTCATGTCAGCAGAGAATTGGTCACTAAAGCACTCCCTAAAAGCAAAAAAGTCAGTAATTAGCAAAACCCTAAACATGTTGTCACAACTAAGTGGAATTTGTATCTGAAGCCTCTCAAACTCATGACTTCCTGTGAATAGCGAAAGAAGGGAAATTTTTTAAGCAGTCTTCAAATCACGCAACACACTGTTTAGTAATTTCCAGGGTTTTCAAAGAGGTTGGATCATGATACAATCTTGCTGGTCACAACATCAGTTGTGGTCATGCAGTTACTTAAATGCCTCAAGGAAAGCAACTGCAGCTTTGTTAGTGATTGCTGGACTTGAACTCCACAAACCTCCTGAAGATAAGTTACTTATGGTATAGATAAAAGTATCCCCTTCTCTCTTATTTTTTTTCATTGGTTGTCCTCCCTGTTGCTTCAGCAAGCTCTCCCTCTCCTGTTACTGCACTCAGGAAGCTTGCACAGGACTCACAGGAAATTTCTCTCTATTATTTGGCACCCTGCAGACCATATACACTGTAACTCATCTTCTCAGTGAAATACACACTTCATCTCCTCCATCTATTTTCATAGGGAAATCTTGCCATTCTCTAAATTGTTCTTGTTACCTGTTTTGAAGGCATTCTTTGTTTCGTGGATATATTTTGATTGGTAGCCAGATCTGAGGGCCACATCCTGGGAGAAGATGAGGTATTTTTTCCAGTGACAGCTGTATTCTTCGCCTTCCCAGGGGCAGTGGCTGTGTTTTCTGCTAGTTAATATTAAAAAAAAAAAAAAAAAAAAAAAAAAAAAAAAAAACTTTCAGAATGTGATTTTCTTTCTGGTTCCTGGCTTCCTAGGCCAAGAGGGAGTTTTCTCTACCAGATATAGGGAGAAGCCTGGGAGCAGCTAAGATGGGGCCACAAGAGAAAGGGACTTCAGAGCCAGGAGAAGCAGTACCACATCCCCTCCTTGCTTGCTGCAGCTCCTCCAGAGACGCCACAGCCCTGGGACATTGGCCAAAATTGCACTTACCTTGCAGAGACTGGCAAACTCCACACATTGCCTGACCTAATGGAGAACATCCGCAGCTCCACCTGCCAAAAAGCAACGTGCAAGTTTTTGGCTGTTGGTATGAGCCCTCCACTTCTGGAACCAAATTCTGTAGCCTGAGTACCACAAACCAGCATGAGACTCCTTGTGTCTAAAGAGAAGGGGGTTAAATCATTGCTAACAACAGAAACACACTTTCATCCTCCCCACTAACCACTTTGAGGACAAATAAATGCAACTGCTCCCAGAAAAGCTGCAATTAACTATTTCTGAAACTATTTCCCTTCTTTATATATCAACAGGAAAAAAGTTTTCTCTCCTTGATATGGTAAGCTGAGCACCCTAATTTGTAATTTTACAGAAAGGCATATCTTAGAATAAAACTTCAGTGTCTCATACTGTGCTAGATTTGTGTAGAAATAAATTTTCAAAAGAACTTTTTTTGTGCTTTTCTTTCATAATGGGTGGGATTTTTCTTTAGTACTTCAAGTAGCTGGGGAGAAGAAAACCCTATCCCTCTTATCCCCTCAGGGCCCCTGAATCCCATCCAAAAAGGGTAAATATAAAACCATTAGAAAAAAAAAGATCAATTTTCTAACATGCTTTATTACTTATAGGGACAGACCAGTTATCTTTTCTTTGAATTTATTAGGGGATTGATTAAACATAGCATGTATTAGACATTATGTCTCTGTCTTTCTTACCACTCTTCTAGAGAAGCTAAAAACTGTAATACACATGTATTCTGTTCTGATCATTCTTGGACGACATATCAAAAAATAGGTTCTCAGGGAGAACCTAAAAGTTCAGAGAATCATTTCCTAACATTCCAGTTCTTACCAGGGCTTGCAAAACCTCACTATAACACCCATCCAGAAGGCAGGCTGAGAGCCTGCCATCAGCCTTACTCTTGCTCTGATTCAATGCTGCTTTGATATTTTGCAAAAGGTTGAACTGAAAGAAACTAAAATTGCTTTTCTGCTTGCTGAAGATGTATAAACAGAGCATTGTCATAGTAAACTACGGATGAGAAATGGCTGTATTCTTATCTCACAGACATCATTAATCCAGAATATATCTCCATCTTCCTGAAGTGCAAGAATGTACTTTAAAACAGATCAAGAAGAAAAAACATAGGCAACCAGGAATATTATAAAATGCTCTACTTTAAAAAGGAGCATCTTAATCCAGCTCTGGTTCCACGGACAGAACAGACTTATTGGCCCAAATGAAATGCAGCATCAAAGCAGCAGATGAGATTCCACTGTGGCATTCAGCTGAAGCAGCATGGGCTGGGAAATACAGGCTGGGTGAGGAAATACAAGCTGATGACTGTCTTGTTACATACCACCTTGCCCAAATGAAAGGCTCATTAACCCCAACAAGAAATAACAGAAGTTTGTTAATTTACTCAAAATGCATGCACCAGAGAAGTGGCTTGAGAACTGTTTGCTTGTTTGATTTTCATTCAAGAAAGGATGACACAAGTACAGACAATTGTTATAGCTGATAACTACTAATTTTGATTTGTGCAAAGATGTAAACCTCCTGGCTCCAGGGAAAAGTCTTTGCTCTCAGCTTTTGCTACTGGTCAGAGCAAGGGTCTGCAGGGTCTCATCGTGCTCACAGTGCCTTGGCCCTGTGAAACTGGGTCCTTCCCAGGCACAGCAGCTACACCTAGTGCCACACCTCTCCAAACCCAGTCCCTGCAGTGCAGATGCACGTAGGTACACTGGCTACTCTCTTGTCCTATTCGAGGCCTGCAAAATCATGATGCAAGCACTCATAAATACTTAATAATAGTACTAAAAACTGCTCTAACAGGCACAATATTGAACAACAATATTGAAGATAACATCTCTCCAAAACTGGAACTGTAGAGAAAAAGGTAGGTAAATGTATCTGACCAAAATCCCCTTGGCCTGGTGATAGAATTTTCTATGGGGGATGTGCTGAGCAAGCTTTTAAGTGTCCAACTTATGCAAGGAGAGCTTGATGCCAAAGAGTAATGTGTGGAACACTGGGGACACCAGTGATTTTGGCCATCTCAGTTAAAAGCAGAACTGATAATTTAAACAGTCCTGTATTTTCTTTTAACTTGGTTTTAATAGCTAAAGCCCTTCAGAGCATAACTAATGTTTATGTATCCACTCTTGTGAACAAATTAATCTGTTCCTCAGAAAGACCATTAAGTTTTTTGCCTCTGTGCATTGTAACCAATTATGAATCCAACATTCACAGCTATTAGCTTCACCTAGAAATTCAGAAGTTGCCAATGTATTAATTGCAATTTAATAAAGAATTAACAAAAGATGGACAAATTAATTCAGATGGAATAAGAAATTAATTTTGATGAAATATTAAAAATAGCACAATTAGAAGTAGGAATGTCTAAGTTTCTCTCTTCTTTAAGTAGTTTACACTTCATTCATACTGATTTGTTATATCCATTTTATTCCACAGAAAAGTCCCCATGATTCCAAAGTACAGATGGATTGTGCTTTTAACTGTACACTGCACAATTTATGTGTCATAGACAACATACAACATAGCAGTTCTTGCTCTGTGTTTGGGGATTCTGTGGTCTCCAGGAATCCAAGCTACTAATAATAACAACTGAAGCACTGAATCACAGAAAAATGGGAAAAAATTCAAAAGCTGTTGGAGCATCTATCTCAAATAAGAGATGGAAATGTGCAAGGAAGAGTGTGCATAGAGCTGCCTTTCATTTATTTCTTAAACTGAAGTCACAATGCATAATGTGTGATGTCATAAAAAGCCCTACTTCGAATATTTCTTTCTCTGTTGAGATTTCCTGGTAACATATCACAATGCCAACACTGCAGGCCAGATGCTCTGTTTCCATATTCTACCTTTGCAATGAATTGATCTATGCTTCCAGTTTAGAGTCACATTTCATGTTTTCATTACATTAAAATATAATTAATATGCTCTAAGTTGTGTTTTTAAGGGGTGTAACTGACTAATCAGAACTTATAGAAGA